ACAAGAACTCTACATGACCAAAATTAAACATCTTGATACCTTTAAAAATTCATTCTTAGAATACGATATAGTATGCAGCATGGGCACTTGGTCTGCTGAAGGTACATTAATTATGATAAAGAAAAAGTACGTAATTGTTGACAGCGATGTCGATCCTGATGGTCGAATCGTCTTCATCAAAACTACATACAATCAAATTCCAATTGTAATCGTTAGTATTTACGCTCCAATACAAATTACTGAACGATGTACATTTTTCAAAGATTTATATTTATATATACCATCATCTGAATGGATATTAATTGGTGGGAATTTCGACTGTACACCAAATAATCAATATGATAGGAATTGAAACGAAATTGTTAGCGTCAACAGATGACACTATGTTGCCGCTAACTAATTTAGTCACTGTCCTTTGGTCATTTTGTTTTGTCCTTCCTTCCATATATAATTTGTCTTCCTGTCGTTTTATTTTTTTTTCTCTCTCTCTCTCCTATATATATGCTTTCATTAGTTATCATTACTAGTCAGTTGATTATCTTGTTGTTATCATTCATCCTTCTGAACAACATCTCTTTTCTCTCTCGTCCCCTCACCTATTATAAGCCTTATTTTTCCTCTCTTTTATTATTACTCGTATATCTATGATCTTGTCTTTTTCCTTATCATCAATAAACTCTAAACTACCTACATCTCAACTATCATTTTCCTTATTGCTGGATATATTATTCAGGTAGGCAGTTTTCCTTTTACGTGTGATATCTCAGAACTATATACAGACCAGACACTTTTCTGTAGTTATCTTCCCGCTTACCAATAGAAAGTGTGCAGGAGATTTAGGATAACATACGAAAAGCTAACAGAAATCATACACCCATTATTATTAACAGAATTATTTCGTGCTAAATACCCTCGAAAGATCAATTACTCGTTTCATGATGAAACAAGGAATTATCATAGTCGTATTGATTTATTTTTTGATTCAGAAATAGGCAAGAAAAATATCCAAAAATAGATTATGTCCCAGCTGGTTTCTCTGATCATGATTGTTTAATAGTCAAATTAGAAAGTCCAACATTAAATGAAAAAATTTTTTGAAGGTGGATATGTAACCCCGACGTTATCAAAAAAAAAAAAACTTTCAAGAAAAATTTCGAGCAATGTGGAATGTGTTCCTCAATTTGGATATAATGAATTCAATACATTGGTGGATAGACTTCAAGACAAGTTTAACTTTTCTGTTACAGGAAGAAGAAAAACAAATGAATCACGAAATTCGACATGAATTATATCAATTACAATTGGAATATCGTATTCGGGCTAATGATCCAACTGATGAAGATCTTATGCAAATGGATATTATACATAAAGATATTCGCATTTTATTAGAAAAAAAAATCAATAATACATTACCAAATGCACGTGAACAAAATGTTAAACAACTGAGTAACTTAGTATAGTACTGCACGGGCACAACTTTTCGTACCCGTACCCGACCCGAAGAAGAATTATTTACCCGTACCCGACCCGAAGAAGAATTATTTACCTGTACCCTACCCGTTAGTTTCGCACCCGTACCCGTTGATTTGGTACCCGTACCAGTTATTTTAGTACCCGTACCTTACTCGTATCTTCTCTTACTCGTAACCGTAACTTCAATATTCACAGTTGATTCCATTTACATCATAGGTGTAAACGCAATTTAGAATATAAGGCTATTTTATTTAGCTTGAGTAAATGAGAATGAAATAACAATACTTTTTATGACTATCACAAACAGTGACGAAGAAATATAAGTGCATCTAATGAATCAGGACTTAATAACTGTCTCCGAGACTCTAGCGTTCGCGCAGTCTCGCTAAAGATTCGTTCACTAGTTGCTGAACTAGCTGGAATTGATAATAAAGCCATAGCCAAACGAGATAACTGTTTATAAATAAGTGAATAATCTTGCCACCACTGTAATATGTCAATATCTTTTGGAAAAACGAATTTCTTTTTCATATAATTATTGATTTCATCAAATTGATCAGATTCTTCATCATCTGATGGATCACTGTCTTTTCCACTAAATGATTTCAATACATCATTAACAGTTAATTCATCATATCGAGAACGTTTTTTTGTTTTTCAGCCGGAAAAGATGTAATTGTTGTGTTGGAAGCGAGCTCAGTTGTTGGTTGATCAATCTTCAATGTTTTCAACATTGACCGAACACTTCTTACAACTTCATCTCGTTCAGACTTTTTTAACGACTCAAAAAGAAAAGAAAAAAGAATTTTTCATTTAAATTTAAAAGATCTTTTACTAACATGCAAATTTTTAGTTTCTGGATGAAGAAAGGTCGCGATGTAATGCAACTCAGACAGCCAAATTTTGTCTTCAAGTTTATTCAATAAAATTCTTTTAAATTCCGTAATATGCAAACTTTCACCTGATCGTACTTGACAAGAATTTTGAAATTTTTTACAAAATGGCACGACAAGATGTAGGGTCGGGGAATCATCGGCAGATAGTACTTCACTACCTGTTTTGAAGATCAATAAAATTTGACATATTTCAATGAACCGTGTTCGATTGATATTGTCAAGATAAAATATTTCTTTACGATCATTTAAAATAGATTCAATTTGTGTAAAATTCAACAAGATCGAGTTCATCATTTCAAAAAAATTGAATTCTCTCTGGTAATACAATCATGTTTTAATGTTATTGGTAGAATATTTTGCAATTCACATCTTTTGAAGTGCGATACTAATTCACGAAAACTTTGAACTAGTAAATTAATGATTGTACAGTTTTCAATTGTATGTTGAATTGCTAAGTTGATACAATGACATATACATCGAATATGAGCTTCAAACTTTAGAGCACTAATTAAATTGGATGCATTGTCTGTAATAAAAATGATTCTAATGTATTATATATTGCTTTCCAAGTATTTTCTATAATAAAAGAAAATACTGCAAATTTTGAGAGGTGAATATCGATAAATTAAAATTAAAAAGGAAAAATGTATTCAGGATTCTACTGTTCTAGCACAAAACTTTGTGATTTTGTAAGCTAAAATTTATTTCCAAGAACAATTTTCAGTTAGTGAACTTACCACCAGTTTTTGATGCAGTAAGAATCATCGTTTTCAACATACACTTTTTAATTTTCCCATCTTTTCCATAATGTATATTAATAGTCAAATAAGTATCCGATGTATACGAGTTTTTCCAATAATCACATGTAATGGCAAATAGTTTAACATCATTGATATCATTTTTTAATGTAATAATCAACTTCTTTTTTTCTTCTAAACAAAAAAGTAAAATAAATCTTCAGAGATTGTTCTTTCGTTTACCATGAGCGACAGATTGTACACGACGAGATATTGTTGTTGAATCTGATAAAATATCTGATGCTTTAATCTGATGAGTACTTGAATGAGCAATATCGAGTAGGGTTTGAACTAAAGCTTCAACACTACGGCCGTTGACAGTATTAAATGATCTCATGTCACATGCACAAAACTTTACACATGAATCTAATACCTTTTTTTTCTGTTCAGACGAAACTTTATCATATTTTTGACTAGTGGAATGAGTTGTAATTTTAGTTGCTATAACAGGTCTTATTTTGCAATTTTCATGATGAAGCTTAAGTGTTTTAGAACCAGTTTTTTGTGCATCGTAAAATAGAATTATTTTACATTGAATACATATTACAAAAGGAATAATATTTTCTTTTTCATCTTGAATACGTTTGAATGACTGCCACCATCCAGCACTAGCACTTGTTGGTTTATCACAAGACTTAAATTCACCACTATCTAACTTTTTTTTAATTGAATCTTTATCAATCACAGACATAATTAATATACCAAAATCCACAAAAAACTCAATATATCAAGATGAAATAAAGTAGCAATAAACGAAAGTATTTATCATTTTTTTCGAACGGTTTCATATACATCGTTGATCGTTTCACAGAATGACCAATCATCTATGTGATCAAGTATGTCGCTACTAAATGGTAACATTAAAGTTGAGTATAACGGTTCGTACCCATATCCGTTAATTTCGTACCCGTACCCTACCTGTACCCGACCCGCGGGTTGCAGTACTCTATAACTTAGCAAAAGCTCGTCTTGTATATTCTAAAGCAAATCAATCAAGAATCGATGTCCTTGATGATCCAATTAAAGATCAAGTTAAAACCAATGCTGATATGATTGATACAGCTGTGAAATTTTATCAGGATCTATATGACATTAAAACAATCGATACAAGTATATGGAATGAATTATTCACAGATCTTCCATCGTTAAATCCAACAGATAGAGAGTACCTCGAACATGATATTAGTTATGAAGAATGTTATAATGTCTTGAAAATGATGCCATTAGGTCGTGTTCCTGGTGAAGATGGAATAACAGTCGAGGTACGGAGATATTTATTTCCAGTTATAGATGAATATTATGTTCAAATGATTAATTTAGCAAAATCTAATGGTCAATTTCATGATGGTTTTCTTAATGCTATGCTCACTTTGTTAAAAAAGGAGGGGAATTATAATGGTTCAATGAAAGGTTTTAGACCTCTATCATTAATGAATATAGATTATAAAATTTTATCCAAAGTATTAAGTGTGCGTTTAAAACAAGTTTTGAACCATATCATATACTATGATCAATCATGTGGTATTCCTGGACGTACGATTCATGATAATATTCACCTTATTCGATCAATTATTGATTGTCATTCTCGTAGGCGTGATCCCATTGGTATTATTCAATGGAATCAAGAGAAAGCATTTGATAGAGTCAATCATAATTATCTCTTCGAAACACTCAAACAATTTGAATTTGGTAAAAACTTCATAGATTGGATTAAATTATTATACAACAATGCCACCTTCAAAATCAAAATTAATAATTGTCTTAGTAACAAAATTTTATTTTGATCTGGAATCCGCCAAGGATGTTCATTATCTGGAGGTCTTTATGTAATTTGTTTGGAACCATTATTACATAATATAAGAAAAAATGCTCGTATACCTGGTGTTTTACCTCCAAGAAGTGAATTTCGACCAGTTATGAGATCGATTTTCAATGAAGATCATGCTCATGTTACTATCAAATTATCAGCTTATGCAGATGACGTGTGTACTATTGTTTTGAATGAGAATGATGAACGTGAAACACAAGCAATGTTTGACTTGTACAACAAGGTATCTGGTGGTAAAACGAACAAGGATAAAACATCAATTTTTTGGATTAGTGACTGGCTTAACCCGCCTTCTTTCCAATCCAAAGTTGAACGTGAATATTGTACCTTCTTAGGTGTCCCGATTGATACGAAAGGTAAAATGCCAGCAGGTGAATTAACCAAAATTATCTCAAATGTTAGAAAGCACATGAGTTTGTGGTCAACAGTTACATGTCCCGAAGAAAATCATTGAAAATGTACAGAAAGATATTAACAATTTCTTCTGGAATAACAAACACCCAATGATGAATCTTTATACATGTGTTGGAAAAAAAGGTAGTGGAGGTTTTGCACTGCCACACCTGAATACAATGATTATTTCCTACTGAATTAAATGTGGTTTAAGAACAATTAATATGGTACCCAAGATATTGAAATTTTATGTTTATCAGCACGTTGGTATCCAATTACGTACCTTTGCACCATGGGTTTGGACGAATTTAGTGCCTCATTTTAATCATGATGATAATTTCTTTGGTGATGTTGCATGTCACACTGCGAAATGGATTAATAAAACTGGTGCATTAACAATTGATGATAGTAAACAGTCACTTTATTGGCAATTAATTAATCTCTATATATTCCGTCCATCTGTATGCTATCAACGTATTTCTTTCTTGAAGAACATTCCTTTTTTTCAAATGATTCACAATTGTATGTTGCCAAAAGTGATAGTAGAATTCTGGATTTTATTGGCAAATTACGGAATAAATACACGTGACAGACTTGGAAAAACTGCAGACGATAAGAAATGCTTGTTGTGCAACTTACCAGAAACAACTACTCATCTTTTTATTTAATGTTTTTTTTTGCGGAAGTTTTCTTTATGTTAGTTAACTACGTGAAAAATTTATTTCACCAATCACATCCAGTAAGATTCGGAAACAAATAACATATACTGTTGGAAATTATTTATATTCGATTTGGTCATACCAGTGTATTAAAACCAATGGTGCTGCTACCGAGCCTTATAGACGCAAGAAGATCTTCGCGGCTGGTAAGAAATATTTATCTTATGACACTGGATAATTATTGTGTGCTCGCAATTATGAACAAAATTAGCTTTAAAGCAATTTATATTCCTTCTTATTTCTGAACTTATAGAATAATTAGCTATACGGCATTTTAATGCTGATCATTTTTATGATTTACTTAATGATGTTAATATCAATGCAGCACCAACAATTCTCTTTTATCATCAAACAAAAATTATTTATCATATTGATGGTTTTAATCAAAATGTTTTATTAAGAAAAATTAAATTACAGATATATACAATTAGTGTTGTACAAGCAACAGAAAAAAAATCTGATGATAGTTCAACACCAAATCATGTTAAAATAAAATAAAACAATTACCTAAGTCATCACCAATCATTTTATTATGAAAGGTATACTAGCTAGTCCACACTGTGATTTAATCGACAGTCATGTCATTTACTTGATGAACATAAAATAAAATATGATTGTTTTCATGTACTTGCTATTGAAAATGTACGTCAAGAATTGAAAATATTCAATTGGAATATTTATCCACAATTATATGTGGATGGTGAATTCATTGGTGGATTAAATATAAGGAAACGAATGATTGAGAATAGAGATTTTAATGTTTAAATTACAACAACAATGAAAAAAAAATGAACAAAAATAATATGGAAAATATTTAGAAAGTTTTATTAGTGGAATACCATTAATGCTTTTTTATTAAAGGTGAAGATGTTCGACAAAATTGAAAGAATATTCATCATGGCAAACACATCCACAATATATGTTAACGGACAGTTTCTCGGTTTTTAGATATACTTTCACAATGGATGAAGAACGAACATTAGTACAAACATTAACTGAAAAACAAAGAGCAGCTGTTTATAAGCACATTCTTATTTGATTAGTAAACAAGAAGAGCTTCCACTATTCGATTCCATAAGGTACAAATCTATTAGTATATTTTTTTCCCTTTTCCTTTTACTGTTGTTATTCCAAAATAAACGATTCAAAAAAAAAACTCTGATCAAATACATGTTGCGATGACGAAAACGTGCGGATTGGTGGTAACACTAGTCTGCCAGAGCAACATTCTACCATAATAAAAAGAATAACACAGTTAACATTAGTCTTTATCGAAAGGCAATACAGTTCGAATAAATGACACTCCTACAGCAGAATTAGGGATCAAATTCGTGAGCATAAATTCAATATGGATAAGCATGTCGATACTGATTGAATCTATGCCTGTCACTCGCAGAGATGTTTGACTGGCTGAGAAAAAAAAATTCTTTCATGATCCTACACTTTTATTTTGATTGATGATGAGAAAGAACTTGAACAGTAAAAAAGAATCGAATTTACCATTTTATGTTGTTTTGATGAAGATATTTCATTCATTTTGTGAAGCATTTGATATCTGGTGAGAAAGTATAAATGCGAATGGATTTCCTGCTAGATGAACATTGAAATAGGAACAATGTTCGAAGGTTAAAAGAAAGATGCTCGAATTTTTAACGTGGATCTTATAGGACGCGAGATTCAATAGAAAGATATTATGAACTCCTGTTTTTAGTCTGTATTAGAACGATCATCATCGAGAATGATCAGAGCAATTCGTGTACATTGAACAAATGCTATTGGTTCCACTGTAAGAAAACGTAATGTAAGATGCAAAAATAATGGCAAACAATGTTTATTCTTATTTCTCTTGAATAAAAGAGATGATGAAAATAAATTTTGTTTTTACGAAACAATACAGTTTGTTTTTCTCTTTCGGATGGTGTATATCTTATTTATATAACATGTTCATAAACGATACTATGTAAGGACAACACATAATGTCAATTCTTATATCTCTTCGATGGATAAGCTTTGAAAAGAATATTTTTTATGAATTGACAGGAAATTTTCTTCTCTTTCGAACAATGTATTATTCATATTTGTTACACATTCATAAATGAAACAAGACAGGAGAAAAAGAGAAACATTCGTGAAATAAATTTGTAATGTTTATATGAATTCATCAGCAACATCTTGCAGATGATAGTTAATTGTAATGAACTATCATTTTACAAGATCTTTTTATTGAATTCACAAAAAATTGAATTTATTGTTGTCTAACAAGATGTTTTTGACAAATTCATTTAAAAGTTAGAAATTTATTATGAGAGTCTTTCTCTTTTTTGTCATTTCGTTTCGTTTATCAATGTATGATAAATATAAATGATACACTATTTGGAAGAGGAGAACATTTTTCCTATCAACTGATTAAAAAAATCTTGTTTTCGAAACGTATTCATCGAAGATTAATCAAAGAGATATAGAGATGAACATTTTGTACTGTTCTGCTGAATCTTAGGAAAAGGGGAGATATTTTTAAGGGTGCTTCTCTTTTCTGTTGCATCATTTCCTTTATGAATATGTTATAAAAATAAGTTATATACGATTTGAAAGTGCAGAACAAGCTCTATCGTTTGATAAAAATGTCTTTTTTTCAGCACTCTTCTATCGAAAAGAAATTAGGATCGACATCTTGTGTCATTACTTTTGTATCGTACGTTATATATAATTGTATCAAACAAAGTAATAAACGCAAGTAAAAAGAGAATTTTTTTCTAAAATGTTTAATAAATATATTACATGCACTTGTTTATTGTATTAGGAGAAATGGTGAAAATATGAAAAAGTTTGTATTATTGGAACAATGATACAAACACCAAGCTGAGATCTTTACAGTTGGTGTTGTGACGTAAACAAATCTGCAGATGCAAAAGAAAAGTTGTTTTGATAAATATTGTTCAAGTACTTTGTATGCCTCTGGATTCAATATTGTTCTATACAGATATTTGTAGTTATCTTGTATTGTGCAAATGACAATAAAAGATTCAAACCGAAATAGAATGTGAAAATAAAATTGATGTTTTTTTTTGCAAACAAGGCTGGATTATAAAAAAAAGCAAATGATTTGAACTAGAGTCCTGCGCAACTTTTAATTGACAAAAGAGTTGTTTTTTTTTCCATTCCATCGATTGACTTGGATGATAGAGCTACAGGTCTATAAACGATAAGAACATCAATTGAATTGTCGTATATCGATAGAACTACTAAAAGAAAACAAAATAAAAAACGGTACTCTTGTAACATATGATGAACATTGTGGACAAGAAAAAGTATGCAATTATATTTTTCCGACATGTCTTGTTAATCGGAAAATTTAATTTCCACTCGAATATAAATATACGAAAAATAAAGCTAAAAACATAATGTCTTGCATTATAAGAAATATTTAGAAAACATATGAAACATAGTAGTAAAAATCAAAGTGAAACAAAAATTGAAAAGTCAAATATCATTCAGAAAAATATGGCCATATCAAACATTTATTATATTATGACTGAACTTAAGTATTATGCTTTGATTGAAAATAATAGTTTTGTTCAATAATGTACCTTTTAATATAGTTCGAGAGACTTTTGTCGATTGATATCGTGCTTGTGATGCAAGCCTCTCCATATGGTTTGCATTGTCGAGATGATCCACGGTACAGATTCGGATTAACTACAGTGATGCAGGTTAATATCGAAAAATCCGTTCGAAAGAGCCCAATCTCAATGAAACTAGTGACGACTTTGAAACCGACGAGAACAGATATTACACTTTGATCGTACCTGAAAAGATCGAGAAATGATAACTATTTTAATGAAATGAAATCTCAACTGCAGTCTTTTGCATACGCATTACTCACTTCATAGAATGAAAAAGATATATGATGTGTGAGAACAACATAGATATCGTGCCTCATAGGTGCATGAGTAAAGTTGTTGCTTCTTACAACTTACCCAGATATTTTCATTTGATCATCATATCTTCATCAGTACCATTATTTCAAAGATGCACAAATTCTCTTGAATGATAAGATGATGCGTCAACTTTTTCTGCTTCAAATGAAAAGTCTCAAAAATTTGACAAAATACCATCATAAAAATGCATGAACAAAAAGCGACAAGTGGTCAGCCGAAAATATCTTCAAATTTTACAAGTGATTAAAATTCATCCAGTGCCTCTCGAAAATTAAGATTTTTAACACTTATAAATATTGTCTAAAAATTACAAGAACGTCTGCTCAATGAATAAACTGATGCAATAACACATTAGATGAAATTATAAAAGAATCTAGTCTTACAATTGATACACTGGATAAACATTGGCTTGCTTCTTTTCTCATTTTTATCGAATGAAAAAATTGATGTTAAAAAAGTTGATGACATTAACAAATTTGTATATAATTCGCCACTTGATTTAAAAGCTCAAAAAAAATTACATCTTCTTCGCCATGTAAAATCACAACATAAAAGATGCGAAAGTGATGAAACTATTGGTGATGTATGAGATACAATACTGAAAGCAATAGCTGATAGTATAATTGACAGTTTAACAGAAAGTGGTGATGTTGTGAAAGTTAAGAGTAATAAATAAAAATGTTTTATTTTATAATAATCGTGCTTATGATCTTCATGTTAATCAAGAATTTATTGATTCATAGGAAAAAATATCAGTTTACGATTTAGATGATAAGAACATCTGAGTATTTCTTTGTAATAAAGACCATTGTTGTCTGATAAAGAATGCAGCACAACACAAGCACAGTAACCAACA